CATATTCCATTCAGCCAGTTGACGCACAAAGCATGCCACGCAGGCCAATTTGTGCGTAGTCGCGATAGCGCAGTGTCATGTCTCGAAGAGAAGCTGTCAGTTCTTTCACCTTCGCTCAAGCACCTTCTGCTGGACCAGGATAGCAAACGCGGCGCCTTTCGGAAGACGAGGTCCCTGAGGTCCTGCCAGGCGAGTGAGTCCGGCGGGTGTCTGGCCTACAGGTGATGAGGCGTCGAGAGGCTCGCCAACGAATTACGCTGTGCTTCAGGAGGGATGTGTCGCGCTGGTACGTTTGAGAGTCGGGTCAGTCCCTCCGACGTGATCTGGAGTTAGCCGCATGACCTAGTCTAGTCGGAAGGCGCGCAACCGGGCGCAGAACGCCAGACTCGCCCTCGAGGTCACGATACAGTAGCTTATGTACCTCTATACGCGCATGAGACCCCAATGTGCTGTTAAGGAATCGTACCTACCGTCGCAGCGTGCCAGGGCAGACTGACGCGTAGCAGAAGAGACTTGGATAGGAAAGAGATTGGCGATGTCTTCCTGTCGTCAAAGCGGCAGGCATAATCTGAGTTTGGCGCGGTGCAAGTTCAATCGACTGTGTACTGCAAACGTCGCAGAATTGTGCTCCTGGATTGCTCCACATGTAACGCCGACGCCATCAAGGAATACGGCAGGCAGCAGGCGGCGGCAGAGTGGTAGATAGAGCCACGGAAGGAGGTATTGTGAACCCAGTAGAATCTGGCGTTCGTCGGAATCGGGGGCTTGTCGTTCTGAAGATGCAAAGACGATCACACGCGCCGGTTGTTTATCTCTCCCAGCACGGTTTGCCTGTTGATGGGCGTCGATCATCGTGTGCGGGATATCGAGCTGGACAACCTCGCGGACAATGGTATCGATGCCTGCACCCAGGATGGAGGTGGAGACAATGACCTGAGTGCGGCCTTCGAGCCAGTCCTTGAGTATGGAGTGGCGAGTTTCCGCTCAATGGCAGCGTAGTATGGCTGTACACCACCTTCTCTGCGCACTGCCGAGCGGTGTGGGTGCTCCGGCAGTAAACGATGATCCTGTACGAATAGCCCCACCAGTCGTAAACGCATTGGATGTACTTGAGTGCTGCCTGGACAAATGAGTCGACGCGATGTCCGGCTGCGTTGATGCACGGCGGGTGGAGAGAAACGATGTATTCCAGATTGGGTCTCCAAGACGGCATGCGTATGACATGAACGTCACTAAGGCAAACGCGTCGAGGATCGGGATACATGTTGGGGGCCAATAGAACCGCTGAGCAGTGTGATTTGGACCTTTAGTTCTCGAGCAAAGCGAATCACCCTCGGATGGCTCTCGGTACCCCCGCGTCAGTTAGCGCCATGTGCGCCTCATCGAGACGAAGCTGGCGAGCTTGCGCATGGCAATGAGACCGCGTAAGAAGCTGTGAAGACCATTAGAATAGTTTGTGTGAGACAAACGAAGACTCTAACTTCATCAACTCATCTGTAATCTGCTCGACAGCCACGTACAGAACGTCGAAATCTCCATTGAAACTTGCGTGGGATGGATTCCATTTGCCAACTGTAAGACCCACTTCATCAGCGCGTCTATGCAAGTCTTGATGCAGACCGCTGACAGGCAGTATGAAGACGGTGGAGCAGCCGACGTCGAAGATTTTGGATTGCAATAGTATGGTGGTCGTCTTGCCCGAATTGCACGACAATATAGCCAGGATGTGGCGCTTTTTCATACGCATGCACTCGAGTAGCTCAGCCTGCGCTGCGCAAGTCCACGTGGCATGCTGATCCCGCCGAAAGTCGCGTAATGCGTGAGAAGGGACGGATGGGGGATCACCGATGAGATGGGACTAAGCGAGTTTGCAATAGGCGCAGTTGGCGGTTTAGGAAACCAAAGCGCGGCGAGGGATGAGATGATATCCGTGAGCGGCTCTTCTAGCTCCGCCTTCGAGATGAGTGGCGTTGAGTGGAGGCTTTCAAGGACAGCCTGTTTAATGGCGGCTACAGTCAGACTCGAGGTGCATTCGCCCGTGCCTGACAAAGAATGAGAGGATAAAAACAGAAAAGAAAGGAACGCACCTGCGCCGGCAACGTCGGGAGTAAGACCCGTTGTGTGTCAAGGTTCGAGGGCAGCGCCAGATGGATGGGATCACCACCGTCTAGCCCAGTGGCAGCTCCCCATGCACGACATGCTTTGATACAACCCACGATCTTCCGTGGGTCGGACGCAGCCAGGTGGATGTGTCGACACCGTACCGCATATATCCCATTTGCGTGGAATGGTTCTGCAGCTCATCGAAGAAAGAGTCGCCAATAGATTTGGAAAGGAATGGGTCGATTATATGGCGGCAAAACGCGCTGACCACCTTCCTGTAGTCCAGTATCTGCAGTCGGCATCCCAGCCCAGTTTCAGTCCAATCCCCAAGGCTGCTACTAATCTCCTCGCCGGTGAAGTCGCGCTGCACGCCAGGCCAGAGGGACGTGTAGTAGCGTTCAGCGTCCGCATGGCCTTTGAAGGTCGAGATCAATCGGCGCTCGAGAGGGCGAAAGATGGTGAGATTCCAGATCAGGTCTTTGGCGACGGATTTGACCGGGCAGTGCGGAATACAGTGCTTGCGGGAGAATTGCATGCTATTCTTCTCTAGCACGGCTATCAGGCAAAGCGCATGGTAGAGCAAGATCACGTTCCGGATGGTACCGCCAGCGACGTTACGCAGCGACTGACTGGCAAATTCGGTCGCACGGACAGATGGGCCACAGGACACAAGGGTCCGGACAGCCAAGATCATGCGAAGACGCTCGAGTGTGCCTAGTAGCTTGTGGCAGGGACCCAGCTTCCAGTGCAAGCATTCTCCCACGACGTACGTGAAGCGATCGGCCAGGTCGTCGTGAGACATGAGCCATTGCGGGTACAGCTCCCCCCACGCCTCGAAGCCGTTTGTCGGAATGTCGAGGAAACAAAAGCCCGGGGCAAAGTTTTGCGGCCGGTCTGTGAGCGTCTCGATCTCGAAGGGAGGGAAGCAAGAGGTTGGGATGCCCTTCCTAAAGAAGACATCTTCCTCGAGAATCCGGCGGTACTGCGCGTCTAGCTTCTGAAGCAGGTGGCGGAATTGGTGCAGGTGGATGCGATTGCCATTGAAGATGAGCTGAGTGTTTGCCTCGTTTTCCATTTGGACGTCTGCGTCGTTGTATTCATCACGAATCTTCTTGACAGTGTGGTGTATGTCGTAGATGAAAGCGCATGGCGTGTCCGAGTTGGCCGTAACATAGCGACGAACGAGTCCATACGCCCTGTGTTCTGGTGACAATAGTTCCGAAATGCAATCAGAGCGAACTTACTCCTCCGAGCTCAATTTCTGCGCCGGCATCTGGATGTGCATCTCACGCAACATTACGCCCCGATTGATCCACTGTAACTTGGCACAGGTCCGGGTGATGTCGTTGGCCCTGAGCCAGGTAGTCTTGCCCATACACGACGCGACGAGGTAGCGGTTGACAGGGAGTACCCAGTGATCAAGGCCGCCGTGAGCCTTGTGGTGAGCAAACATCACAAATGCAGCCTGATGGACAGCACCATCAGACGCGGATTCGGCAGGGGGCGCGTCTTGAGTGAGGACGTTGCCCAACGCCGCCAGCGCTACTCGTTGATTTGCGCTGAGTGGGAATTCCAGAGGGAGGGGATCGTTGTTGGCACACCGCAACATAGTCGTCAGCAGGCGCGAAAGGGCCAGGGCGTACTCATCAACACTCTTGAGCTCCAGCGGCCGCAATTCTTCGCGGGACGAATCTCTGTAGATTAATGTTAGCTACTGAAGAATAACAAGCATAGAACGTACGCAGTGAGCTGCGCCATCAACTTGAGCAGGGCAGAAGACGACTGTTTTACTGTGTGATGAATGCGCACACAGTATGCCTTACATGCGCTGTCCATTCGTTGTCGGAGTAAGCGCTGCGCGGGTGTCTTCGTGGGAATGGATATGGTCTCGTTCAATTGTGCCGGCGTGAGGTGCTCAACGAGGGAGTAAAATTCTTCGTTCTTGAATAGCAGGTCCAAGTCGTTGGCATTGTGTGGCTTGGAGATGGGCAGTTGGGCGTAGTCGGGTCGCGGAAGCGCCGTAAAGATCCGCGAGGGTTCAGGTGTGACACGTGGAACAAGCAGTGATGAGTCAACAGGGAAGAAACCACGGGCGTTAAAGCCAACGGACTGCCCCAGCGCCCGGAATGAGGTTTTCGCAGCGCCAGGGGCTAGACCACACTGGGGGCGGTACTGGTGATTGACCCTGAGCGCTTCCGTCGCAAAGCCGTGATAGCAGTGTCCACAAAAGTGCAGTTCCTGCGGCGAAACAGAGAGCCCATAGATAGGACTTGTGAGTGAGGTGGGATGGATCCAATCGGCCGGCTCGATGAGGTCGTATTTGAGCTGTAGCTCCGCGCCCAGGTTTTTAGGGACATTTATTCCCGTCCAGTGCTCCACGAGGTGTCTGCCCAAGCGATGCGGAGACACGGCTTTGCCGCATGACAGGCATATGACTAGCCTGAACGCAGTATTGATTACGAGATTGAAGCGAGCAAGATCGTGCTCAGCATCTTCGGTGATCGTGTCCGCGCCGAGCACCACGCCAAGCGATGTTTTCAAGGGTGGCTGACTGTGCGGAATGGGTGGCTCGCCTGGCGGCGGAGTGCATGGAGGGATAGACAAACCCTCTGGCGGATCGGTTGACACAGCTTCGTTTGTAGAGGTTGATGTCGTCGAGGGAGACCGCGTGTCCCCGACCGTTTGACCAGGTGTGAATGGAGACGGAGGGGTGGCAGACACTTCGACTGCATGCTCAGTCATGCTGAAGTGCGCAGAACGCAGGGCATCTGTGTCAGCGATTGCCCCGTTGTCGCTGAGACGGGCCGGGCATCTTCCAGGACGACGCACGTGGTCCTGTGAAGTGTGAGGTGTAGGACGGTGCGGTATCTGCTAGACTAACCCCGAAGGTTTGAGCGTTGGGATGGATGAATGCACAGCGAGTGCACGAGAAAACGCCCGCTTCGTTGCGATTGAAAAGCAAGGCCTGCACGTCGTCCGGGAACTTGGCTGAGACCTGAGCTTGATGGAATATGCGGCGATGTTTCTTTTCGGTGGTCCCGTCCAGAGGGACGTCGGCCTTGCACAGCTCACAATAAAAGACTTCATAAACGGGCATTGCGAGAACAATAGGTTTCGAGGCAGAAAGGATGGGACGGCGTACGGCCCGGTTGCCGACTGAGAAGGCTAGGGCGGACAGGACAGCGCCGAGCGCGACAGAAGACACATATAGAAGGCGTCGATTCAAGACCTATTACGTGGACAGGTACCTATAAGCACCTTGGCGCACATGAACGCCCTAGTCAAGCGAGTGGGGAGGGGGTGAGGGGTATGAGCGTCTCCTCGAGGCCTTCCTTGTGTTGACTCGGGATCTGAGGGCTAGGTGGGCTGGCATGGTCAGCGCTCACCCCAAGTCCCTACTCTGACTCCCTTCGCCATGTACTCCAGCGCCTTCCGGAAGATGCCGTTGTCCTCAGATTGGTCAGCCAGTTTGGGTAACACTCTAGCCAACCGTCTATGCGCCTCCTCTGCTCCTGGTTGCCCTGGATCGAATACGCAGTTTTCTAGACGTTCTGACTATGCAGCGCAGTATGTGGAGTAAGCGGACATTGAGAGGCAGGTTTAAAGAAACGCACCTGCGGACTTGGCGCGTATCCACTTGCCTTTCCGACTCCCTAGCCCCTTCCCTCAGGGATCCGTCCACTCGGTCTTGTTTCTTACTTGCTAGAGGCTGGTCATTGGTAGCGGTTGACGGCGAGGAGAATGAAGGAGAAGATGGAAGTGTGGAGCCCGGGGTTACAAGCCGTGTGCTGGTTAAGTCTCACGAGTCTCTGAACCAGCATACGTTGCTCTGCATCCTGGGCGAGCAGAGAGTAACGGTGCAGAGGGACTTGAACGTCACGTGGAATGACGTGGTAAGCTGCTTGGACTTAAGTAAGGCAGTGCCTTGTGATGTGACTGCGGTCACAAGGGGTGACACAAGATATGTTCGACAGAATGTGATGTCTTGTACCCTCCACCACGCCATAAATATATTGTTTTCATGTTGCAAAGCGTCTTCTAGCATTATTCATGAACGCTTGGCTGTTTTCGATAGACCACAGACCCCCTGCGTCCTGACATATTGAGCAGCGGGCTGAAAGTGATGGGTGCGCTGAGAGATTGTGTAATTCCAGAAGAACGGCTGAAGATAAAAATGCGAGATTCAGGATTCTACATCCTACAGAATGTATCTAACGATCCATGTAATAAAAATACGGATGTTGTGGATACAGCTCTCTGCGTCCCAGTCCCATCAAATGCACTGATGGGAATTGATCGCTTTGAGACCCTCCGCGGAATTCGATATGGGATACGCACCATTGCCCGGAAGTGGGACGCCGGTGTCCGCTTTCATTCTTTAGACCCTCAGCTAGGATTCCCCGATTTTTCCAGATTTTTCGGACAAGGATTGAGGCCGGCGTCCCCAAAATGTACTATGGTCGCAATTTGGGGTGCCGATAGATACTAGGCCGGCAGGTCTGATCACTTTGATGGCTGCCTGTCAACTTTCACCGTGCTCCCATTTCTCGCTCCCTATTCCCCCACAATGGGTTCTGCCTAGTTTTTTCATTCAATATTCATATTAGGGACCCTTACAAACATTTTGTCTGATTTGACCAATGAAATCCGGGCACTCCCTGCCCCGGGATCCCCGATGCAGTACCCATCACAAAATTTGATGCAGCGGAGCAAAGATGGCTCCCTTCCACACCAACCCCTGGCTCTAAAAATACGAAACTTGGGATTCAAGACCTTGGATACAATGTGTCGAGTCCCAGCAAAAAAAAATGGAGATGTTGTGTAAATAGGGTTTGGGATCCCCGGTTCATCAAAAACGGCCTGGTGAGATGATGCAAAAAAAGTGATCTGATTGTTGGGGGCTGCTACGCAGCCCCCGCCCCCCAACCCTGGGATCCAAGTGAAAAATGGATGAAGGGCCTCTAGGGCTTTCATACAAGCCAGGTTTCAAGAAATTTGGTTGAGAATTGAGCTTGGGATCCCCGTTTGCAATGAGATCATTTATTTCGGGGCCAATACCACTAGGGTAACACTCTGGCCAACCGTCTATACGCCTCCTCTGCTCCTGGTTGCCCTGGATCGAATACGCAGTTTTCTAGACGTTCTGACTATGCAGCGCAGTATGTGGAGTAAGCGGACATTGAGAGGCAGGTTTAAAGAAACGCACCTGCGGACTTGGCGCATATCCACTTGCCTTTCCGACTCCCTAGCCCCTTCCCTCAGGGATCCGTCCACTCGGTCTTGTTTCTTACTTGCTAGAGGCTGGTCATTGGTAGCGGTTGACGGCGAGGAGAATGAAGGAGAAGATGGAAGTGTGGAGCCCGGGGTTACAAGCCGTGTGCTGGTTAAGTCTCACGAGTCTCTGAACCAGCATACGTTGCTCTGCATCCTGGGCGAGCAGAGAGTAACGGTGCAGAGGGACTTGAACGTCACGTGGAATGACGTGGTAAGCTGCTTGGACTTAAGTAAGGCAGTGCCTTGTGATGTGACTGCGGTCACAAGGGGTGACACAAGATATGTTCGACAGAATGTGATGTCTTGTACCCTCCACCACGCCATAAATATATTGTTTTCATGTTGCAAAGCGTCTTCTAGCATTATTCATGAACGCTTGGCTGTTTTCGATAGACCACAGACCCCCTGCGTCCTGACATATTGAGCAGCGGGCTGAAAGTGATGGGTGCGCTGAGAGATTGTGTAATTCCAGAAGAACGGCTGAAGATAAAAATGCGAGATTCAGGATTCTACATCCTACAGAATGTATCTAACGATCCATGTAATAAAAATACGGATGTTGTGGATACAGCTCTCTGCGTCCCAGTCCCATCAAATGCACTGATGGGAATTGATCGCTTTGAGACCCTCCGCGGAATTCGATATGGGATACGCACCATTGCCCGGAAGTGGGACGCCGGTGTCCGCTTTCATTCTTTAGACCCTCAGCTAGGATTCCCCGATTTTTCCAGATTTTTCGGACAAGGATTGAGGCCGGCGTCCCCAAAATGTACTATGGTCGCAATTTGGGGTGCCGATAGATACTAGCTAGAGGCGCCCTGCGATATGAGGCCGCGCGTTCGAGTGCGCAAACAGAATTAACACATCTTTGAGTGGTTCTGGCAGCTCCGAATGGAGAGACTGGGAGATGGGTGGTTAGCTTGCAGTGAGGTGTCGCCAGTTGCGCGGTGTGTGTGATGACATAGATAGCTGACGCAGCGCTGCAAAGGATTGAGACATGGGGGGACACGCATGTAGGACAAAAAATGCCTGATTCGCGCGTTCATTGAGATCTCTGTAAGTCATCGACTCCTCTCGCTCCGCACAGCTCATTGCAAGCGCGTCGGGGTAGCGAGCGGCCTGGTGCTCGAACATGACGTGGAAACGCAGCTTGCTGACCTGGCCCACATCGGTTGCGTCGATCGGCGGCAGCAGACACGGGATGCGGTCACCCAGAAGCGGCTGCAGGTCGCAAGCCGTCTCCGCCATGGGCGCGATAGAAGCCACGCATAGAAGCCATGTATTGGAGCGCTATTACGGACATGTAAGCTATGACCGCTATTGCGCAAATGAACGCTCCCGTCGAGAGAAGGTGGCGGATTTGGGGTGTATATGCGTTGAGCGTTGCGTTGGCCCGAGATCTGAAGATCGGGTGAGCTGGCATGGTGAGCACTCACCTGTAGAGCCCCCTGTTCGCACGAACCCTTCCTCCACTTGCACTAATCCTTCTGCTGCCCTAGCCCTATCCCTGAAACCCCAGCCCATCCATCCCACACCCGTTCAATGGTGGCTGCGGTTGCCTGGTCGGATGAACGATGAGAGCGATGAGTGCCGCGCTGTGTTGTCGCTAGTCACAGTCGCATCTCGCATCTGATGGCCCGGCCTGGATTTCCCCTTCTTGAGGATCCAGGAAGCTGAGATTGAGCATTTCATGGGTCATAGCGTTTGCCTGGTCAGACTGTACGATGAGTGCAATGCTGATGCCATTGCATAGTGACCCCAGGTCTAATTCTTAACTAGACAATGATGAGTCTGCTAGTGCGTGATCTGACTTGAAGAAATTTGTGTTCCTATTAGGGAAAGCTATGCTAAAACGCAAAGTATCGGGTGAACTTGGCTGTGGGTCTCTTCTCCGTAGTCACAACCCCTTCCACGAACGGTGCCACAAAGGATTTATTATCGATGGGCACCTCAGCACCAGAGCGCGGTAGCGCATTGAGTTGTTCCCATGTCTGGCGCGATCTCGGCGTCGTCGCACTCGGAGGCAGGTAATGGAACCTGTCTAGAACGTACCAGACCGGGAACTCAGCCAGAATCCCAGTCGCATTCGGGGAAATGTGCATGTATTGCGGGTGGCTGAATATCAGGTGCACAACGTACTGCGGGGCATGGTTCGAGCAATCGTTCTAGATGTTGCCGGTAAACACTCACCTCGCGACCCATATTGGGGAACCGGTAGCTGGGATGGGTGCATGCTGGGATCTTGATCTCCCCGTCCATTCGCAGGAAGTGGTCCGGCTCTTCGATCTCCTCAAAGTCTACTTTGATCTCTTCTGTCGACGGTGTAGGTGAAGGGGCGCGTGTGGTCGTAGCTTCAGAATCGGCAGCAGTAGATTCCACGTTCGACTCCGCATCTTCCCCGCTCGGCAGAAAGGCCACATTGTGCTCGGACAAAGCATTGCCGTCGTCAGGACTGAGCGAAGACCCGGGTTCGCTTCCCTTCTGAACTGTAGATGCCACCTGCTCATCCTCGTTGACGGTATCTGCAATCCAGACCTCCCTCATGCGCTTTGACTGGGCGCCTTTGACCGTGTGCGAGCCGAGCTGCGGATGTTTGACCGATCCCGGCGCTGGCGGGTCCGGCAACTGGACCATCTTGATTTCAGGGACAGGCCCTTCATCGTCCGGCCTTCCATCATCCGTGCGCCAGACGCGACCATATCCAAGCCGTCCGAGATAGCGGTCTTTCCGCGACGAGGTCCGCGGGTGCATCACATTCGCTGCGAACATGTCGGAGCTGAGAAACGCTACTTCGACGGCACCAGGCTGCCCGAGCGCTTCGAG